AAGGAGGGAGGGGGGGGGGACAGAGAAAGAATCTTCATGGTGACAGATGTCTTCAGACCGCTCGTGACATATGCAGTATTCCAGACCAATGTGTGAATCTGACTAGATTCAACAGTAATTTCGATAGATCGCGTTCAGACTTCGCGATCGCTCCATTAGATCACGTGACCACGACCGAGGGTGCTCCACCGCCGAGCTATGTGCCGCCGTAACGGTAGATTTCAAATTGGGCAGCGTTCACACAGTACCGTTTGAATTGTTCCGTTGCGGCGGTGCATCTTTTGCGAGTGGAGCGCCCCGGCGTGGTCGCGCAATCGCGAACTCTGAACACGGTCTTATTCTTTATATTGACATTTCATTTGCATCACTTTTTGCCTTTGTGCGGTATGATATGAGTACAGCTGACTTTGCCAGGTTACTGTACTCATTTCACTGCAAATTTAGACCTTTTTCTCATTGGCTCAATAATTTAGGCGAATCGAATCCTTGAAAGTCGATTGGATTACTTGCTTTCACGAAAGACCGACGCTACCTCATCAACAAATGAACTCTTTGATGTTTACAAGAAACTGGGACATGTAGCGGTTCTCGCTCAAGACTGGGCTAAAGGTGATCGACGTTTCTTCACGGAAAATAGAGTTTTCGCTCATTAAGACGGTCCCCGCGATTAAGTGGTCCGCGGTGTCTCCGTGTATTTGGCATCGTTGTCCGCATTCGCAGAGAATATACCACTTTCGTCACTCGAAACGGCGAGATAAAGAAGCTAGAGACGCGTGATTATTGCAACCATTGCAACCACGATTACTTTCACTCTGCAAGACAACGGCTTACAAGCGGAATTGCGTGTGTACATAGCGTTGCCTGGAGCGTCGTAGGGTGATTTCCTGTGCTCTTGCCGGGAATTGGTTGTAGGTCGAGTCCTGCTGATTGGGCTGTCCGACAAATTCGTCCAAGGCACCCACTGCCACACGGGGTCTTTGTTCAGAGTGATCCCAAGATTTTTTCTCGCTTCTTTCCCTCCTGGGAAGTTTCTTATGGGCTACTGGTTTTAACACCTACTATCTGTAACACTAGATCGCGGGAGTTGTCTTTAAGGCTAAAGCTTTTTCCATTATTACTTTTTTATGTTTTGTTTTAATTCTTATCAAGTTCTTCTTCTCCATTTGCGTTTTTATTGTTATCGTTTCAGCGCTGTCGGCATACCAGGAAGCATATAAATTGAAGGATCCGCTGGCGCTGTAGTTTGGACTGGGGTTTAGTCTACATCAGGCTTCAAAGAATTTAAACTGTATGTTGAAAAATCTAACATATAATTTAATGATCATAAATGTCGTTCGCTTCTTGATCTTCTGTATTTTTTTTCCAGCGCAGCCGATTCGTTCTCACGTTTACTGTATACTTTTCCAAATCTTGATATTATAGTTGAAGTTAAAGCTTTAGGCTTGAGTTTGCTATCAAAACCTAAGCGCTATCCCAAAGCCGTAAAGTATTCCTTTACCTCATTCAAGTCCTGACTGTGTTCGATTCTCTTTATGAGTACCTGGTTCTATTTTTCAGTTTTATAACCAAGCCCTTTCTGATCTGTCAGAAACTCCTTTTTTATCCAAAACCCATATACGATTCAATATGGCTCTGAGTAATGAGAATGCTGGCGATCTTGCAAAAGCGGAAGAAGAATACAAGGATATTTTAGCAGAGGTGATCGTTCTTGCTTTGCTATGTATTCGTTGTTTTGTCGGGTTTTCGTGTCAGTTATCTTAGACAGCCTTATGTTTTGGCACAATAAGGGTAAGTCTACTATTCGGAAAGAATGCGTGATTGTTGCAAGACGCATGACGAGCATTTGAAGCGGGATGCGAATTGACACATTGGATATAGTTCACGACGACCCTGCAACTCATTTCCGGGAATAGGCGGGCAATCCAAAAATGAGAAAATTTTGATAAAGGGTTGAAATTTTGCAAAAACAAGCAAGCAAACTTTGGCGTGCTTCAGGGGAGCAGCTTAGTGTGTTGATGCATAAATGCGCGTCTATGAGTACCTCCGTTCTGTGAAGAATGGTGTGAAATAAACAGAGTTGAAAAAGTTATAAAGAACTCAAGTTTACAACGAATTTTTATGAAGTGGGCGGGGTCGGAAACTTGTTGATGTACAGTCCTTTACTGTCAGTGTGTATGTGCGAAAAAACAAAGTAAAGAAAAGTTGCAGAAGCAATGTTATAAAATAAATTTTGAAAATTTGTGACCGTGGAGAAGTAGGTGTGGCCGTCGGGGCAGGGCTTGCGGTCGTGCGAGTTGGTTGACTAGTTGCCTTTTCTCAGAATTGCGGTGAATTTGATGTGAAAGTGGTGATTTTGGTTTCAAAAGTGGTGAACTTGAAGTGGAAATGGTATATAATGAGCTTTGAATTCTCCCAAGAAGTGTTGTCGTATTTTAGCTGGCGGAGTCGCAAAATCATCAGCAAGATAGGCAGTACACACAAGAACAAACAAGGCTCGTTGCCGCGGTGAATAGACAACTAGGTAAATTGGCAATTGTTTCAACTAGTAGTAATTACTGCTTATAAATGGATTCCGTACTTTTAGGGTGGATTTCATATCGTTTCAATTATCCTGAACAGTCAGAAGAGAGAGCTCGGAGGCTTCGTGAAGCGGAACAGTTCCTCCAAAATTCGAAGAAGTTCGAACCTATAAATGGAAAAACATATTACTATCTGGGGCGATGTTACGGTGAAACATTGAATAAGGTGAGTGGAATATCTATGGTTGGATTTTCTGGATAGTGAAACTTGAATGACGGAATATTGCCTGGAGAGAGATTTGGTTTTCGTCAGTGTGAGGCATTACATACAACCGAAATCCTACGCTTAAAGGCAGTTGGCACGATGGTTTCCTACTTAGCCTAAAATGCTAGTAGGGCGCTGTATAGTGGGGAAATGGCGAAAGAACGGAGTGAAACGGTCAAAATCCTGCGAAGAAAAAGCCTCCGTTCTCAGTGACTTGTAAATCGATTTCGGACGAGTTTCCCGTAGGCATCTTACCAATCACCGCTACCGAAGATACGGCTGCATATGTGTACCCATGTATGCATGCAGCATCACGGCCGCTTCATACCAATCCCTTCGCTTCATAATTTGCTTAGCAAATGA